CTTACAGACGAGCCTGGACCGTCAAAGAGGGTAAAGTATATAAGGAATGAAAAGAGACTAACTAATGAAGAGTTGTTATCTCTTTTAGATTAGTGGAAGAGTGAAAATGATCAATTGGAAAATAGCTCCGACGAAGACCCTGATTACTCAACAGAAAATGATGTTAGTGAATTTATTTATGTATTTATTTCCAACAGGTGAAACCCAATTACAGGAAATGCTGAAAGAAACAACAATTAAAGAGACACGGTTCTTGGACTTAAATCTATAGTATCACACATTCTAAATAAGATTGGATGATCTATAGCAGATAATAATCGATGCACAACTGTCACTGTAGATATCAGACGATTCAGTAACACTGTTCATGACGCAGCACATGAGATAATTGGCGATTTTGTCATAACATGTACGGCCAGCTTGACAATTGAATGCCGTTTGTTGTAGACTCCCTAGCCTTGGAACGCGGAAACATATTTTTTCAAGTAAATTTTGACAGTCAATTTTATTGTAAATGAGGCCATTCAAAAACGACAAAGCAAATATGTTTCGTCTTGTTGACAGTGAATCCAAATTGAAAAACTCTAATAGGGCACTATGGTCACAACCTCTTTCTGGATAAGAACCTGTGCATTTAAGGTGAAAATACTTTAAAGCTTTACGTTGAATGGCCTCAAGGATCACGACAGCCTTTTGGTATATAGGAGACCAGATCAGAGTCGCATACTCCAACTTGCCCCTGACAAAAGTAAAAAATAAGGTCATTAATGTATCAACATTGGAGAAACCCTTCCAGCTTCTGATACAGCAACCAAGTAGTCGAGTGGCAGCCGACGAGATATTGAGTATATGCTCAGTAAACGTTAGCTTGGTATCAAAAGTGACTCCAAGGTCTCAATAAGAGGTGCTTCTCTCTATAACCCGACCATTGATGTTATAATTATCATAAATTAAATAGTTAACCTTTCTTGTATAAGTCATAACTTTACATTTCGAAACATTCAGACTGAGATAGTTTCGTGAACACCATGACGAAATTAGAGCTATGTCATTTTGCAACATAACGCAATCCTCGACTGTCGTGACTGACGTGCAGATTTTAAGGTCATCAGCGAAAAACAAATGGAAACACTTCAGTTCAAAAGACAAGCAATTAATAAATACCAAAAACAATAATGGACCTAGATTTGACCCTTGAGGTACCCCGGACGTGGCCCGATAGTAACTCGACCTATGACCACCATATTCGACAAATAACCTTCTATCCCTCAAATATGAATTCATGAGCGACAGTATTGCATCAGACATACCCACTGTTTTGAGCTTTTCCAGAGGTGCATAATGATCAACTTGATCAAACGCCTTCTGAATATCTGTGTCGATGACATCAACTTGTCCCTGACCGTCCAGTACTTCAGAAATGTACTGAGTAATCAGAGCCAAGTTGGTGACCGTAAATCTGCCTCTCATAAACCCATGCTGATTAATAGAGGCTGCACCCCTGACCGAGCAGTAAACCGTTTCATAAGCGATGATCTCAAACAACTTTGCACAGGATTGCTATTTGGCGATAGTTGGAAATATCAGAGATATCTCCACTTTTGTGAATAGGACATATTTTAGAGGTCTTCCAGATATTTGGATATGTCTCTGATTTTAGAATTAGGTTGAACATGGAAGCCAGCGGTTTCGCTAGTATATGAATGCAATCTTTAACGAAAAAACTTGGAATACCATCACATATAGACGTCATTGTGTTCTTTAATCACTTCGAAGCCCTAATTACGTTTTCTTCGCTTATATTTTTCAAAGAAATGATATCGGAAGAATTATTTGTTGGAGGAGATGACCCTAGTAGACCAGACGGGATAAAAACTGTTGACAAGAAGGTAGCAAAACTGTCCACTATATCCTTAGGCGTATCGCAGACATTGCCGTTAAGCGTCATCCTTGGGGGGTTTCTAGATTGCTGTTTTTTGATCTGGGCAAATGACCAGAATTTGCTAGGATCATTGACAATGGCATCCTCAACCGAATGGACGTAAGCGGAGTAGGCAACACTGATCTGGTTCTTAATGAGCCTCCTAAAATTACTGAATTGATCACAAGAAAACTTAGTACCGTCACGATTCCAGTTCCTTCTTGCTGTGTCCTTCTTCTTGATATTAAGTATAATTTCAAGTGTGAACCATGGGGGATACCAAAACATTATATTTTTACATTTAGGGACATGGACCTCAAAGATGTTATTGATAACCGAATACAAGGCGGTACAAGCGATATCAACATTAACTGCACTGATCACCTCCGTCCAATTAACATCTTGCAAGGCTGTATACATTTCAGGAAAGTTAGCTTTGCGAAAGTTAAACCGTGGAGAATCCGAAGATGAAGATCTTCCTTCTTTTACAAAAGTCCTTCCCCCTCCTCCTATCCCTATGAATTCTCCTCCACCATCATTACCAAACGTTGATCAAGGAAAATCCATTTGGAGTTATGCTGAGGCTCCTAGTCAACATTTTCCTTTTACAAAGACACCAGGTTTACTTGTAAATGTTAATTCCAATGAGCCAATAGACTGTTTCAACATTATGGCATTATAGAGTCAAACGAAAAATGTGCGCTGTTTGCTGGGAACAAATAAATCAAAGAAAGGATTCAATTTATTATTGTCCTTTGTGTCCAAACCAACCTGAGCTTTGCTTGACTCCTTGTTTTCGAATATTTCATTCCACAAAATATATTTTGTTCGTGTTTGTCTCTATTTGACTATTTGTTTTTATTTATGTAAAAAGACAAACTATTTTTGTTTATTTTATTTGATAGTGTGATTTTGTATTAGTTTGTATTTTGTTTTTGAGTTTTAATATTTTTCAATACAGATGTTATTATGTTGCGTTTGAATAAAGTTTTGGTTCCAGTTTTCTTGTTGCAATATTTTGTTTCATTTTTATTTTAAGGAATCGTTTATTTTCTGTGTTTATTGTTTCTTTAATATTCATCATATATTAAATTCTTTATGCGTATCGTATTTATTATTTACTTCGACTAATATCGAAAAAAGAAATATATGTCAAATGAACGCCGCAGAGGCGGCATCGAGCACAGGCTAAGTAGTTGTGCCTTGCCGGCCCCTAGGGCGGTCTTGTATTTTTTTGCAAAAAAATGGCCAACATCAGCTTGGGGTATTAACCTAAAGCTACCACCATCATTAAATCGAGAAATTGTAAAAAATAAATAGGCGGCACACATGTGACCGCTAGGATTTTTTTGGGCAGTGTATGTGTTAACATTGTGTCCGTGGCAGCGTAGCTCTCCAGTGGATGTACCAACTCGACTGCGTTTGATTTAACCGAAAGTTTCATCTATTTAGATGTGTGTATGATCGGTTGATCTGTTTAAAACGTTTGGGAGGTAAACTTGGGAGAGAACAACCCAGGGTAAGGGAAGATGCGTGAATGAGGGACCTAATGTCTGTAGACGCAAATCAGCAAAGTTGCTTCAAAGATTAAGAATATTTAGTCATTTTGGTACCATAAAAATTTCCTGTTTTTCAAATTGTTTTTTGGAATATAGATACCGTACTTTGCATTTTTTCAAATATTTTTGTTCGGAATGTCCCAAAACAACCTACTAATGCGGAGCGAAGAAAATAATTAAATAAATAAATAAATAGCTTTCATTGCCCACCAGTTAAGGGAACCATTTACAGGATAATCCTAGGAAAGGATAAATCAAACACACAAAAGTGGAAAACAAACAAATAGCAGGTGATTCCAAATAACAAAAAGAAGCAAAGAATACATTTCAGTCAACTGAAAAACATTTCATGATCAATTTAACCAATTTCTAGCTACTCCCAGAATGCTGTTGAAACTGCTGGCACATATATGGGTGCTTTAGGAAATAAATTTGTGCGAGCCCTGTCTCAATAAAAGGTTTTAACGGTACGAGTTTGAATAGATGGGACATTAAAGTTTAGTCGCGTCACAATCTCATTAGCATCAATTCGATTGTGCAGCAGTTTATGCGAGAAGATAATTGTTCCACACTCCCTTCTCAGCCCTAAAGACTGTATTTGAAGACTAGATAATAACAAACCTTCAGATATACCCTGCTCAGGATATGTACCTACCGTCTTTGAAAGATAAAAATTTTAGAAACTCTCCCTGAACATGCTCAGGCAGTTGTAACTTGGGTTCCAAACTAAAGTTGCATATTCCAATGTCGATCTAATACAGTGGCCGACAATCCAACGATCGCGAGCTACCGGTAGCTCGCAAAGGCAACTTTGGTAACTCACAACATATTTCGAAAAGGTGTAAAAATCATAGAAGCTTCCGCAAAATTTGTATATTCTCATAATAAACAAAAGCAGCGGTAGCACTAGGGTGAGCGATCTGTTCGAGAACGATCTCGAATACTTTGAACGGAATAAATACGCAAAGCGCGGCGACAGTGTGCTCAGTTTAAATCTGAACGTCACCAAGTACAGCGGTTGGATTAATGCAATTAAAAACATTATGAGCAGCAGTAAGAAGATGAAGACATACTATTTCCATTCGGAATGGGAAAAACAATATTTTTTTACAGAAGTCAAAGGTATAAATGTATGTTTGAGCTTGCGACGATGAGTTTTAAAAAAAAACTCAAAATACTTTTTTCAGACGGAACTAACAAATTTTTATTAAGAAGGACTACAGAGTTGATTGTAGCAAACGCAAAGTGAATCTGAATAATAGTGCAAGTGTGTGTGTGTGTGTGTGTAAGATAAGAATGGAAAAAGGTGGTGCAGCGTCTTCTTTCTTCGTACCTGGCGCATATTTACACATTCTTGTACAAGTACCTAAACAATAAATATAAAATAAAATAAATAATATACTTGCAATCAAATTTCAGTTAGCTCTCGAATAAGTTCACAAAGATGTTTTTTGGGGCGTTAGGCCAACTTCACTGAGATAGGGCAACACAGATGATTCCAATATTTTATTATCGTATATCTATACAAGGAAGCACCGCCATTGTACCCAGTTCTGTTTTAAATATTCCGCATCTAATGCATTGTATATCGATGCACGTTGAAAATACATCAGACGCCGCAAACTCCTCTGCCGTCGTAAAACAAATGCTGCACGGCCAACTACAAAAGCCTTTCTCATTACATATACTGCAGCAATACCAGATGATTCTGTTTTCCGTGAAAGCTTTAGCTCCGGCCTAGCTCCAGCTCTCTGCTGGATGCCTATCATGCCGTTCCAGCTCTTCTTTTGACTTTTTTTCACTGAACGGAAACTAAGTTTTCTTTTGTGGCGAGAATAATTTCGAAATGTGTGCAGCGAGGTTGTTTTGATGCTTTTGAATCCTTTGTCTTGCTCGTAGACCTTGTAAGTAGTTTAGCCTGGAGCGTAACCCCAGGGAGAATACTCCTATATTCAAAACAGGGCATTTGTTTGGATCTAAGTTGATTCCAGAGAATGTGAATTATAAATGTACAGCGTAACGCGGAGAAAGGTCGCTATATTTTTTTGTACTGCAGTTGAAATATTTTAGTAACAATGCTAACGTGGCCGTTCGAATTGGTTACGAATGTCACCTGTGCAAGACATGGGGTCAAGCAGGTTGACTCAATAACTGTCACGAGTTCTCTTACTTTTTCCATTAACATTTAGGTTTAAAATAAACACAACAAGTAAAATGTTGGTCAAGTTCGGAACGTAATTTCTTCATGTTGAATTCTATATTTTTATCAGCAGGTGCTACGTACACTCGTTGCTTTTAGTCAGCATTTATGAATTCTTGATTGTAGCAATGTTTTGACTTGTGCAGGGTAAATCAAAATGATATTTATTACGCCAAATTTTGAGCAATTTTGCGGTGTGACTCCAGTTGCTAATCAGACAGCAATGCTTTGCAATATCAAGAACCACATTTTCACTTTATTCTTTTCTATTCACGTCGCCAACTAAGAATGCGATGTACTCTATCTGGGAATCTATCCATCTTGCGGCAAAAAAGTGATTACAAAAATGGCCAAGAGAAGAACCTGGAAAATATTTGTAAGTTTCTGAAATGACCGCCAGGGGGCGTAACTGCAATCTTGAATCTGCAGTCCAGCACGGAGGAGGCTCTATAATGATTTGAGGAAGTTTTTCGCTCTGGGGGTCTTGGTGAGAATACAGGGAATGCTGAATAATGAAGGTTACAAAGTCATACTACAAAATCGTGTTGTCCCAGAAGAACAGAAAATCATGCAATGGCCTCCCAAATCCCTGGATTTGAATCCGATAGAGGTGGGTTGAAGTGGACAGGCGAGTACGGAAATGTTGTCCTACATCTCCACTATCTATGAAGAATATTACAAGACGAATGGCAAAAAATAACCCCATCCACTTTTGAAAAATTAGTTTTTCTAATAACTTTCATCCGTTTCCTTGTTTTCTGGATGTTCAATACTTTTGAACAGTAGTGTACTTTCACAACCTGCCACCTCCTACGAGCACAAGTGCATTGGACTAAATACTTAAATACTGTTAAGGCATTAGTTGGGAAGTCAAGACCTACCTACAAGGCTTTTTGTTCAGGTTCTGGAAACCTTCCTTATCAGTATCAAGACTTAGCTACCACCGTAACAAGAACAATGCACTAACGATACAGCTGTATCCACACACGTTTTCAAATCAGTTATGCTAGAGCGGTGCATCATTTCCTCTCTGTAACACCGTGTACAAGGTACATACGTGCGAGCGAGGATATTCAAATGATGAGAAGATGGGATGATATCAAATACTGCCACCATTCGGATTCGTGAAATCGTTATCAGCTTCGTGCACCTGTATACCGCATAGGTACGCGCATGGATTTATCTATTTAGCATCCAGAGGGAGTTCCAGAAAATTGCTGTGCTTCCAGCATTGCACCTCGTTGCCAGATTTCCGGTAGTAGTCCAAGAACCTAGCTAAAGGTACTGAACGTCCTCTGAGTTGACGTATGTCCGAAAAGTTTTGGCACAGAATGTATTGGCTTTAATTTTAAACTTGCGGCAGGCTCGCCCAATAGAGGATCTTTTGGTTCTACTATCGAGGAAGGTTTATCATGGAGGCTGGGGAGCCCAAGATGAGGAATGTTTAAGACGGCGAATTTAAGAAAAATTGAAAGAAGTTGATCTGAATTCCATCCATGAGAGACTATCGAAGAAAATTGCATCTGGTAGAGCAGAATATGCCACTCCACATAATTCGATAGTACAGTTTAGTTAAGTATTGAGTTGTAATCTATGATAACTGGTTAGTGTTTAAATATTGAACGATAAATGTTTTGTGCTAAAACTTTTAGAACATATGTTACTATTGGTCGGTTTCAGTTTTGAGCTGTGTACCAGAGCACGCCGAATCAATACGGTTGGATGGATCAAGATGTATGAAAAGGATCACGAAAGAAAGGCCGGCTTCAGGCATACTGATCTGCCTAATAATCTAGGTGAACGGTTAATTTCAAAGACCATGAATCGTGCAACGCAGTCTGATATAAAAGATCGGTCCACAACATTACATCTCCCCCTTCCCTGTACCTTCCCACCTATAATAACAATGTACTCATCAGTAGTTAGACCAGAGTTTTTCGTAAGTATAAAAAATGATGTCAAATAGATTATCTCTACAGTTTCCACGCCTTCAAAACGACTACTAGAGCTATTGACTACGAGTACATATTTTTTAAAATTTTCCAAATATACTAAGTGACATATAAATCCGAACACCCAGTTTAAATGGTCTTATTTTAATAAAAGTTGGTGAATGTATTTATCTTACTGTAAATAACAAGTGAAAAAATTTTCAGCCTTAACAGTTGGACATTCCGGTTTTTATACTGCTTTTTTTTAATTCACTAACGCTCTAAAAATGAATATTTCAGCCGCAGTAAAGAATCAACGTTGGCGGATTTTGGTTCTTGACATCCTTTACGATCGGTTACGATGCCTAGAGTACGGAGACTTGTACGATTTCGTCAACTTAGTAAGTTTGATAGGGGCCGTATAGTGGAACTTCGGGTAGCTGGACTTTCTTTTCGGGCAATTGCAGTTAGAGTGCAAAGAAGTGTAGACACTGTGGTTAGGTGTTGTCAGGCATGGCTTTGAGAAGGCCGTACGCAAAGAGCAAGGGGCACTGGACGCCGCCGTAGAACAACAGACCGTGAAGATCGCCGCCTAAGATTATTGGCCTTAAGGGACCGTTTCTCCACTACCAGGTCCATTGCAAATGAATGGTTTGCAGAACACGGAAGACCTATTGGCATGCGAAGTGTTCACCGACGAATGAGAAGTTTTGGCTTGTTTTCATACCGGCCACACTGGGTCCTCGATTTAACTCGAGAACACCGACGTTATCGCCTTGAGTGGTGCAGACAACGTCGAGTCTCGATTTTGTTTAGGCATGCCCGATGGTCGTGCCAGGGTTAGAAGGCGACGTGAAGAAAGGAGGAATCCACAGTTTTTTGTTGAAAGACATGTTAATCACACTGTTGGAGTTATGGTTTGGGGTGCTATAGATTATGGTTCCAGGTCACCTTTAATCTTCATCAGAGGTAACATGAACGCGCAGCGTTATATCCACGAAGTTCTAGAACCCCATCTTTTACCCTATCTTGACACCCTGGCAGATCCAACCTTCCAACAAGATAATGCCCGACCACATGTTGCAAGAGTCACAATAGACTTCTTTCAACATAATGATGTCACATTGTTACCATGGTCATCAAGATGTCCCGACTTATCCCCAATTGAGCACGTGTGGGATATGATGGGTAGGAGATTGCTCAATTTGCAACGTCCTCCTCAGACTCTAGAAGCACTTCGAGAGGAGTTGGTGGTTGCCTGGAATGAGATACCACAGGAGGACATTGACCACCTGATCAGAAGCATGCCTAGGCGCGTTGAAGAATGCGTAGCACATGAGGGTGCATCCACACATTATTAAAGGTCAAAGGGCTTTAAAGCAGTGCAATCATTTTGAAATTTTTATCATTTACTTATTATGCTTCATTAAGTACTTATACAAAATTTTATCAAAATAAAACCATTTAAACTGGGTGTTCGGATTTATATGTCACGTAGTATATGTATCGATATCTGGAGCAAAGATCTTTGGATCTTCTAAATATTTTACTATTGTATCACAATGCGCTAGGTACCTTTTTTATGTCATCGGCATCCGAAATTGGTACATTATTCAGGAGTAAATACCAGACGTATCATCACTATACGTCAGGTATTTACTGAACGCTTGAGCACAGCCGATATATCTCGAATGGATAACGCGTCGCGTATTTACGAATAGGTGCCCTGGCCTGCGCGGCTGCTTAGATGTAAAAAAAAATCATTGTACCACTACAAATCTCAGTTTCCTGCTTGTAAATGGTCGGTGATCTGAGAAATGCAATACAAAAGTTTCACCATACTGATAAATCATTGCCTCACCGTAATGAATGAGGAATCAGTTTCATCAAGAGCAATTCTAATAAATTATATTTAGCGAGAAGTCGTATGCTTACTATAAGAGTAAGTTTGGCGTCAATGTAATCTGTAAGTCTTCGTTGCTCGTTATTTCCGTCGCTCACATTTGCGGGCATATCTCCAAAACCGTACGGAATATGCTTACAGGTAAGCCGGTGTTGACTCTACGGCATACTAACGCGGCAATCTCCTCGGAATCGCCTGTTTTCGGCACATCTCAATATGGTAGAGTTAAAGCACGTATCGAACAGTCATTTTATTGTTGAGAAGTTGCTATAAATTGGAAATTGCTGGATCATCCTACAACTGGAAATATATCACATCATGATATACAGGGTGTTAACCCAGATATGCCTAGCGTACAATTTATGGTACACCGTAAACAAGTCGCGACTTGCAACGACCTGTGCTTATTTTGACGCGGTAATAGCACAGATATATTCAGTAAGCCTTAGTAAATCGTAACGTGCGGTTGGGAGGTATCGTTGTATTGAGATTTTTTTGCGATTTTGTGAAGAAGTTTTTTTGTGTCATGGCTATGGAATACGGTTTGCCAAGTAAGTAAATACAGGGTGTCCGCAAAGTTGGGGTTTTCCTTTACACGACGTGCAGGTCTTGAAAACATAAGCAATTTTTCTTAGTACCATATACACCAATGTCTTAAGGGAACCGAGATAAAGGGCTCTGCAACATTAAAAATATCTAAATACCGTCGTGTAGCCGCGACATCCCCGAGTGGTACTAGGACACTAGCTCAACCCGACGACAGAACT